AATTGGAAAATCCTCCATTTAGAATTAATTTAATTAATTGCCACCATGTTGAATTAATTAAGCTGGTAGCCATTTTGAATTTATAAGTTTAACAACCATTTTGAATTAATTAACCTAGATGCCATTTTGAATTAATTAACTTAGAAGCCATTTTGAATTGATTAACCTAGAAGCCATTTTGAATTGATTAACCTAGAAGCCATTTTGAATTGATTAGGCTGGAAGCCATTTTGAATTGATTAACCTGGACGCCATTTTGAATTGATTAACCTGGTTGCCATTTTGAATTGATTAACCTGGACGCCATTTTGAATTGATTAGCCTGGAAGCCATTTTGAATTGATTAGCCTGGAAGCCATTTTGAATTGATTAATGGAGAAACTCATTTGAATATTGAAACTAATTCGAAGTACGACTCTTGTCCCTTTGCAGGACATGTCAACATGGTCATCCTACATTCTTTGTAGTACTAAGGACAATTCTGCAATTACATGTACAACACTCCAGGGCTTCTGTTTACTTTTTTGATAACTCTATTCTGTGATTGAATATATGGCTTCCCTAACACTTTCCAACAAACTGAAAATTTGCTTGAAAAATATCTAGGAACAATTTAGACTCTGAATGTTTATACTGTACTGAAGTTTTGACCAATGGTGGCAATTGAGAAAGATAAGTTTAAAGTGTTAACCTAAGATAGTTTTTTTCACCAGCAAAGAAACTTGAAAGACAAGTAAAGTTTCATCACAACATAATGTCATTTTGGCCGTTCAATTAAAGTATTTTTCAGTGCAATTTAAAACAAATAGCAGCGTATCACAGTAAATTGTTTTGTCATCCAGTTTTAAGAAGCAGAAAATATGATGACTAGTTTTTCATAATTTTGTTGGTGTCATACCAAGCTCTGGGTAAACATAGATTTTGTTTCAAGTGCTTTTTGTAGACCTTCACTTTAGTGGTGTTTGTCTCCACTTTAATAACATATTTCAAGCACTTTTGGGTGGTGTTTTMCCTTTCTTTTCCTGGGTCACTTTTGACTCCAATAATTTCATGTTTTACATTTCATTCTTTCAAGAAATTTTCATCACATTAAAGGCCATCAATAATGTTTCAATTTTCAAGATCTAGTTGATAATTTTTTTTCTGATGTTTTGTGACACTTAGCTAGTACTTTTCAGATAATCTCAGATTTTAGCTGTCATTTCTTCAGTTTGTTTGTGATTGACATGAACGTAAATTCAATGTAATTACAAGGAATTTTTGAGGACCTCAGCTCAATTTTAAGACATTGAGATTTATTCTGTTGTTCACCAACATTGAAGGATGATTTTGCAGAATTGTAATTTCTTAATGAACACTTTTTTAAACTATAATTGTAAATTATTAAACACTTGATTCTGGTACATTCTATTTTCACTTAATAAGTTACTACAGTATAGATAGCAAAAATAGCATTATGCTGTCGCTGAAATCATTGAACGACTCCCTTTTCTCACAGCTTTTCATCATTTACATGCACCTTTATATCCCTGTTTAATGTTTAAGTTGTAAGTTTAAGAGACTGAGGTCCTCACTTTGCTGGTGAAAAAACTTCAATTAAATTGCAATCTATGGTAGAGCCATTTTTATCTGTCGCCGACAACATTTAAACCCACAATATTATCCCAGAAAAAAAAATCTTCCACGTCAGTTTGATAATCACTTAGTTTGGAGAAGTCTGAATGAAGCAACACTTCAAGCCTACTGATCACCCAGTACATCACCGTCATGCACATTCAGTGGGTGGTGGGGAAGGGTCATCCGAGACTCACATTTGCACTGACCCTCACCTTATTTGCTGGCTTGAATGACACCAGAGTCTCCTCCTGAAGTCTGCAGTGGGTGGAGGTTCGACATTCATGTAGTCAGTCTCCAGTATCAGGGCAGTCTTAGGTTTGCTGGTCTTGGCCTTATAACCGATTGGCTCTAGTCAGGGCAGCGAGACTAACAAAGAGATTAGGACTGCTGGGGTGGCTTCTCTTTTGGTGCTGGCAGGGCCTCGTGGGAGGCATGAAGTTTATTTCCATTTTTTTCAGAATAAAGAAAAGCAATAGATACAGGAGAGTGCCTTGAAAATCAGAAGCAAAATCATCAAACTGATAAACTATCCTATGAACTCTGAAAACTGGAAAAAAGTTGAAGAATAAACAGAAATATTCATTTGACAAAATTAAGAGAGGCATTTGAATTTAGCCTCTAGAAACGGCAAGCTCCATTGGAGAAAAAAAAAAAACGCAAGCTACTACAAGATCCTAGGTAGGACCTGACACTCTCCTGTATCTATTGCTAAGGCTGGAGGACTGGCACATGGAAAAAGACTTGTATCAATGAAACTGAACCAATTATCTAATGAATATGAACCACTAACAACCAGCTTAGACCTACAGTATCTTAAATSAAGAATAATCTTCAAAACCTTCAAAGCTTAGTGTCTTATTCTTGGACACATTTCTTCTGAGAAAGTCCTACKTAGTCCCTACTCTAAAGCATGATAACCAGTCCCCCAGCCCTCAAAAAATATCATTTTCTAAATGTCTTGGTGATCTTCTGTGTAGATTTGGTCAGGATATTGTGGTGACAGATCTTTGATATCTGAAGATTAGAAAAAATCAAATCAAATTAATAAAAACATGAATTTAATAAAAAAAGTCTGAGGTCATGAATGTTATATTCTATTTACAGTATGTACCTCCAATATACATGTATAATAGAGGTAAAACGAATGTGCTTTATTAATATACTTACAAATCTGTCTTGTGATGAAGGCCTTTGTCTTGACAGTTTCAGATACATTGTATCATAGTAACTTCTTTCTGCCAAGCTGTTCAAAAGTAAAGAAAATAAAGATCACAATCTTGTAAAAAGAAGTAATATTATATGCAATATTATTGTTATGACAAGTATTAAGCATTAMTATATTTTAGGGTGAGAAGAATTTTCATCTGTGAAGTATTTAAGAAATATGAAACGGCATGTCTGTCTCTGTTCTCTGATATAAACATGATGGGAATTGAAACACGAGAGAAGCAAGCTTAGAAACACAAGCGTAGCGAGTGTTTCTCTTGCTTCTCGAGTGTTTTTCAACTCCCACCGTGTTTATATCAGAGAACAGAGACACGTGCGCCGTTTTATATTTCTTATATAAATTTTTTCTGCGTTTTTCGAGCGAAAAACAAATACGGTCATCAGCCTATCAGAGCACAGGTTATATATCAAAAATTTTAAAATTATGAATAGGAAATGTTTACAGAGAAAAATGTAAATTTTCAGGTTGAAACTGCAATATAATTAGTGCAATAAGGATGCAAAAAGGATGATGTTCACTAATTGAAAATTTACCTCTATTTGCCATTGCGGCAAGCTTTATATCTGCAACAAGACTAGTTTTCTTTGGTTTTATACTAGTTATAGTCAGCCCACGCTATTGCATGTTTGTCAAATGCTGTTTTACGGCATTCAGCCATAAGGGGCATTGCATTAAGAATGGATAAGGTTGGATGTTGTGCTGCAATCTGACACATGATACACATTGTGCATCACTATCATCTGAAAGAAAAGATATTATTCATTTGAATAAAGTTTAAAACAATTGAAAGGGAAAATAGGGCACAACATTTTTGTCATGGTTCCACCATGTCAATGCAAGGTTGGTGTTGGGGGGGGGAGGGTTGGGATGTTCTCAAGGAATTCCACTCAAGCACAGTTCAACTACTAGTGGACCTCTAAAACCACTAAATAACCTCTCTCAACACATAAATACAATAATACAAGCAACTAAGACAATTTACGAGGAAAATGTTTGGAGAAAAAAGCGAAGATAGTCAGAAATCGAACACAAGTTTGGCGACACAAAAGACACCTCAAAACAAGACAATTCCACAATATTCTTACCTTTCTAAAGTTTCCAGACGTACTTCAATACTTTAMATATTGTTTCTTCGTCTATGTTTGCTTTCATATGCTATAAAATAGCACAAAATTCAATAATTTTTGCAGCACATCCACCATTTTGATTTTTGTTGCACGTGGGTCACGTGCCAAGTACTGAAGCGAGGGAGGACTGGGTACTAGTACGACGCAGCCGTCCCGCGTCAGGTGAAATGGTGTACTACGTTTCTTGAGGGTTTTGCAAAAGGATTCTGAGCCAATAAAGTGCAAATCCCAAACACCATAGTATAGACACAACATAGCTGCCTAGCACAGAAGATATTGAATTATTAATAAGCAAGACATAGGCCGCCCAACTATTGCTTGAGAAAAAGAAAAGTACGAATGCGCACGCTAAATTTATCACAGGGAGCCCAAGGAGAGCCCATTACTAATAATTACTAGTAATGTTTACTTAAAAAAAAGTCTACTTTTATTTTATTCAATAGGGAGGGGAAATTTTTAAAACCCATTTATAACGCATTTTGACACTGAACAAAATAAAAGTAGACTTTTTGTTGAATAAAATTTTATCTTTAACTATTCTCTACTTGCGCATACCCATAATACCTTCTGATTTTGGGGGGTAGTTATTGTTATTGAAATCATTTATATTTGAATAACAATTAATTTTATTTGCATCCCAAAACCTACCCCCCAAAATCAGAAGGTATTGTGGGTCATGTGCAAGTAGAGAAGTCATTGCTTGGGCTCCCTGTGGTGTAAAAGCGTGCGCATTCGTTCTTTTCTTTCTCTCAAGCATATGGTTTTGGCCTGTTTTGGGGGACACTTTTGTGGATTTTTTGCAGAGAAAGTGCTTCTCTTGATGCCTCTCGACCAAAATAAGGTAGAAAACGTTGATTCACATATATGCTGTCTCAGATAAAATTTCAAAAGGGATTTTTTTCGATCGTTTTTTGCTCATTTTTAGGAGATTTCTAGCGGAGTCTCCTCCCTTGTCATTACATATTATATATGAAGGGGAGACTTTTAAAAACCCATTTATAATGCATTCTAAGGCTAAATAAAATAAAAGTAAACTATTTTTAGAAGTACAATGTTGTTTTTTAACCATTTTAACCTTACAGATTCAAAGTGATTCAAAGTGACGATCTCTATCAAGCATAGAGATCGTCAAACATTAATCTGGGAAAGAACGATTGTGTAAGTATTGTAAGATTCAGTTTATTCTGCCAATGAAAAATTAAGGAAATCAAACTGAGGGAAATATCTTTGACGAAAACGCCTTCTTGTGGATGTAGGTTATTAAGTTTGTTTGTTCAAAAAGTTACAGTGAATTGTATTCAAGGAAATTCAAACTTCTGACAGAGGATTTCTTTATTGAGTTATTATTATTATTAATCTATCGACCCGGCTTGTTGTCGGCAATCAATCTCCTGCTAAAGGTTAGCTTTTATTTCCTTGCAGCCTAACCGACGTAGTTATGGAAAAGAGGGCATGCAACTACAACACATGCAGCCTCACAGAAAGAGCTTCGCAAGACATTTTATAAGCTGATCATATGCTGAACGTATTTTAACAATGTATTTCTTGTTATATCTAGACAGTAATTGCTACCGGTGCAATATAAATGCATGGCCCTCGTTCGTCCCCATACAGTAGGTTGGTATTCATGTTCCCAGGGGTTCGCGCTACTCCTTGARCTCCTTGAAAATCCCTTGATTCAGAAACTCGTTTTTAAGTGCACTTGAAAAGCCCTTGAAAATGGGAAAAATGCCAAAAATCCTTGAAAACTCCTTGATTTTTTACTAAGAGTTTTATTTTCAATCCTGTAAGATAAAAAGCACATTAAAAAGTGTAATCTTCCGGATGTGTTTTTTCCGATGGCCCGCTCAAGCTTTCTCACTTGGATTCCTGTGTCTTTTGAAACCGCATTCGCGGCTTGATATCACAGGGATCCCATTACAGACATTTAACTTTTTGTCCTTGAAAATCGATATTTTTGTACTTGAAAAGCMCTTGAAAAGTCCTTGAAATTTTGACAAGAAATGTAGCGCGAACCCTGTGGTCCAAAAATGTTACTTAAATTATCATGGAAAACAAATTACATGTCTTCTATGTATTATTACAGACACAAGAAAAAATGTCACCTTTGTGGGGAGGAGACACACGTTGGGTGTGCSCCTCTGCCCGTGAAAGGGAGGAAGTTCGGGGTAAGATAATGCAATTTGTCCATTTTATTACAATTTCAAATATAATGCCACAAGACATGTAAAATCGTCCCCTCTGTCTCTTCCCTTGGACATAACCATGATGGAGATGTGCAAATAGCATGGTTTTGAATCTTAGGCCCGCGCYATACGCCGAACTTCACATGTGCCGAATACAATTCACGAATTAAATACAGGTGAGATGCGGTGTATAAATCAATTAAATTGGACAGTATTGGATTAAATACGACTTCAGTCGAATCTGCGACTTAAACAGTCGATGATACGGCAATGGTGCGGCAGATGATTTATACGCCGTATGTCACATGTGCCGAGTGCAATACATACATTATTTTTCAATTAACATGAATTAAGAGCGATTCACCAATCTTTTTTTCGCGTTTGAATGGTGTTTTTTGTGGTTTGAATATTATATGAATGAAGAAGAGAAGGGAAATAATGAACATAAAATGGAAGTATGTATGGGAATGGAAAGGAGAGAAGGTGAATAGAGTGGATGAATAGATGGGGAAAGGAAGGGAAGAAATGAAAAAAAATGAAAAAAACAAAGAACTTATAACTAAATAACTGTAGAAGTAAAAGAGGGGTTATAAACAGAAAAATGGATAGGTGAGTGAATAAAAACTAAATATGTAAATAACTAAATAAAAGAAAGGTAAATGAGGAGCGTTAACTGAATAAATAAAGAAATAAAGAAAAAAAAAACAAATAAGATAAATAAAAAACAAATAAAATTAGATAAATGGATGAATCGAAAATGTGTGAAGAAACTGAAATAAGAAGGGGAGGGAAATGATAGTGATGAAATAGAAGGTGGCATGYATATGGGCAGKGGAAAGGGAAATGATTGTTGATGACTGGATGTTGTAAGTGTGTGGGGCTGATAGTAAGAGGTGAGTAAATAACACGAGTGGAGAGAGATGGAGAATAATGAACATGTTGAGAAGGGAAGGATTATAATGAACATGAAATTGAAAGTGTGTATGGGAATGGACAGGCGGGGAGAAGAATAAAGAGACGGAAGAATGGAGAAACTCGAGAACAGTTCGGCATGGGTAGTTGTAAAGGGATAAAATATAGAAATGTGAATAAGTGAAATGTKAGTTCTTTGACCGAGAGGGGATTGGGAATTAAATTCGTCACTTAAAATTCGGCGTCTAAATCAAATGCCATATTTAATCATTTAAGTCGACTAAAATAGGAATTGCATTCGGCACGTGAAGTTCGGCGTATAGCGCGGGCCTAACTTTATTATTTTGCACTTCTATTTCTTACCACCATGTTTATCTTAAGGACAAGTGAGCAGGGTTTGTGCTACATTTTCACTACAAAATTCCAGGACTTTTCAAGTACTTTTAACGCACAAAAATGAGATYTTCAAGGAGTAKYTTTKAAGATATTTYTTRATGTTTGCGGACGTTTCAAGTGGTGATTTTCAAAAATCCCAAAGCTGACAATAAACATGTAAATTTTATCAGGAGTTTTCAAGGAGTTYCAGCGATGTTCCCCATTTTCAAGGGCTTTCAAGCGCYCTTAAAAACAMATTTTCAAYTATAGGACTTTTCAAGGACTTGAAGGAGTAGCACGAACCCTGTGTGAGGTTAACTTATACGTAATTCCTTACTTCTTGATTTCGAATGAAACTTTATCATAAATATCTGACAATTGTTTTTTTTTTCAGCATCAAGAATCGTGAGGCGGATGGGAAAGGGCATTCTGCTTCATTAATTTTTAAATATGAAATAGGAACTGCGTAAAAAGTCTGAATTTTCATGTAAGCTTATCGTGGTCCTTAATTTCTTCGACAATTTTTTACCTATTTCAAAATAGGTCTGTAATATTTTTTCAGGCAATTCAAAAGTCATATTAATTGGTTACAATTTATGACAGACCTATGTTCCACAATGGATTTTATGTCCCTTTTCTTTAAATAGCATGCTATTGTATATTTAAATTGAATCGACTATTCAATATCTTCTTCATATAGTGCTTTTCATAAACTCATGATGCAATAACAATTTATTACAAAATATTGTGGAAAACAAAAAATCTCAAAAATGAATGCCCAATGATCGCCATTTAAGACTCCATCATCGGTTTATGAATGCCATAGGCTATTACATGGGCGCGCGGAGATACGGATTTTATCTTCGAGTGTTGAAAAGATCTCTCACGAGTGAGCGTAGCGAACAAGTGAGAGATTTTCAAAACGAGAATATAAATTTCGTATCTCCCAGCGACCATGCAATATTCTGTTTATCATATAATTAAATATGAAAGCAAGTTATGTCGTAAAACTACCTTTTTTCTTACTTCAACTTTATAGAGAAACCTCGAATGTGTTATTTTCACTAGTGATAATTAACATGTAAATAACATGCTATTTTCACTAGTGAAAATATCAATTTTACAAAATGTAGAAATATATAGGTATTTCATAGATAGTTATATGATAATATGAAAAACTTCATGAAGCTTATGCACTTATCATGTGTTATTTATTCTTCTATTCTTTTAAAACAGAGAATTACAAAATAAAAAAATAAAAATTTTTCATGACATTATTATTATATTCTTGACTGTTCTTTCAATCCTTGTACTGTACAAGACTGAATCTGATGATGTTCTGGACAAATCATCTGCAAATTTCAAATATAAAAATAATAATAAATTTATAATATGAATTCAAGCCCTAATTTATATATTTTGCCTTCATTACCTTACCTGGGGGAGGGGGAGGAAATCCCTAATAAAAATGGCGACCATCCTCGTTGGAAATACTGAAAATGATCCCTAAAAGGGACCTGTATTGAGATGATGGGCGTGGCAGTGCTGAAATTTTACCCCTAAGAGGGACCAATCAATAACAGTCCATTTTGTTTTGATTTCCTGATTTTATTTGTG